GGTGTGACTTATCCTTCCAGTTTCAAAATGAAGATGGTTTTTTACCATCATTTCAAAAGAAGAAATGTCACATGGCTGACAATACTGAAGGACTTCTAGAAAGACTGAGGCAGCTGCTGCTGCTATCTAGAGTCTCGTACACAGCTGTATGGAGAACTTTAATTATCTGAATGTTTTATATTGTCTGATTTCCTCTTGGCTGTGAAAACTCATCCAGCTGGGGTGGACTGTAAACATGCCTGGATTTTTGTCTGATCACCAGTGCCACCACCAGGCTCTGACTGTCAGCACAAGATGGTTGTAAGCCCAACTCAAAATCTTAAAAACAATAGTTCTTGGAAATGACACATTCACCTCTTCTTTATATTGTTAGACATACAAGAAAAGATAACACTCTTGGCTACAACCAGTCAAATTCCTAGTAAGTCCAATATAAACTCAGGTTTGTATAGGCTCAGCCTCATTCAATATCTGACCTACAATTGAAGAAACTACACAAGGAATTCCAGCAGATATCCAGAGGTTTTGCTAAATCTCCAGAAATAGATTCAATCGTATTCAAAGTTTAAATTATGAGATTTCTTGCTAAAGTCAGAGTAAGATTTTTAACACAGGATCAAGGCCCTCTCTGAAAAGCTGTATTTAAAACTATAAAGAAACAGGGGAAAGGTACATTACAAATGAGATAGAAGGAGCCAAGAACTTTTAACGGACAAGCAGGACAAATAAAGCATCCTGTTTGAGGCCAAATATAGCATCCAGGAAGGCTCAGGCATTATGAATAGACATGAATTTGCTTTATTATAAATTTACCACATCCACACAGTGACAATGATACAATCTGATTTATTTCCCAGACCTTGTAAGCTCCGCTGGTTGATACTTTATAGTTGAAAAACATCAGGATAGAGGGTCTTGCCAAGAACATCAGAGTTAGAAAGTGAAAGCCCCTGCCAAGGCCATGAGTCCAGAGGGTAGGAAATTTCCAAGACAAAATTTATCAGCAGCTTAAAAAGCACCCCAGTACCTGCGGAGAAAAACACCCTGAGCTTTCCAGAGCACTTTTAGTTGAAGAAAGGAAGGAAGACAGGAAGGAAGAGCCCACCTAGTATGGTAGATGAGTAAACAGGTTTAGCTGATGAATCAGCCATGGTCAGAGCAAAAAAACTGACTTTAAAGCAGAGTGACAATAATCCTTCAGTGGTGTCTACACTGCCTTACATTGCACATCTTATACATGGTGAATTCTCTCTGCAGGAGTACCATCATGGTACTCTCTGGACAAACTGCAGGTTGCTAAGGGGACCCTCAGGCATAGCTAACAACATGAAACTATTCACTGCACCCATTTGCAATATTAACAGGTTATTCCATCTCTTCTCCCAGCCATACAGAAAAGTCCTTCCAGGGTCCTTCGCTGAAGGTGCTCCGGTGTATTTCCTGCAAGGATTCTACCATATGTCCCAGCAAAGAGGCATTTGCTGTGTGCACTCTCAGGCCTACATAGATGGATTTTTTTACAGAATACAGTATGAACATTCATCACTATTGTACCATCTCTTCCCAGCCAGTGAAGGCTGGTAGGTGAAAGGTTCAATGAAAGCAAAAGGATTTGGTTTGCAGAAAATGATCTGTCACATAGCTAAGTTGTGGAGCACCTTGCCACAGACGCTGCAAATGATGAAAATTTACATGGGCTCAAGAGGAGTCTTGGTAGGTTAAGAAAGAGAAACAAGAACAAGGTTAGTAAATATACAGAAGCCACCTCTGCCTTGAGAAGTCACCAAGCCACAGATGGCTGTAGAATAGTAGTCAAAAACCCTGTCATGATTTCTTGCCTACTGTATTCCAGACATCCATTCTGGACCTCCAGGTACTATCCTAGATGGATAAGGAATAGACACTTTTATACTCTTCTGATTTAGAGTCCCCTGGGATTGAGTACACACAGAAGTTTAATCAAAGCCGAAGCACAATCCACCTTCACCCGCCTAAGGGTTGCCCAAGGTTACTTAAAGTGTTAATGACAAAGCTACAAATAAAACAGAATTGTTTCAGCACCTTTTCTCATTCCAATGACCCAGTCCTGTCTGTACACAGCAAATAAATAATTAACAAGCAATGAAGTCAGAACACCTGTAGTACAGCTCTAATTTGTCCTATTGCTCTTGCACACTATTCTCACCACATGTAAATATGATCAGAGGTTATTTACATTTCAACATAAAAACTATGTATCACACTTTGCCTAATTTCCACTAATAATGCTTATGAAGCCATAATATTAGAGCAAGCAATGATTTGTGGTAAAAGACAGCCATTTAATAGAAACATGCGGTGTCATAGAAATAATTCTGCTGAAATAAAAGTGAGGAAACAGTTAACAATGTTACATTTTCAGTATCAGGTTTCACGATAACAACCAGAAGCTTGAAAGCAAGAGAAGAAAAATCTCTCAAGTTCAAGTTTCAGCCAGGTGGCTAGCAGGGCTTTGGTGTCATGCACTGCTGTCGCATTCCACCCAGCTTCTGAATGCCAGCTTTGCAATGTAAAATATTTAAATATTTTAATATTGAACATTTAAATATTCCATCTTCCAATTCATACTTCTGCTAAGAAAATGCAAATTTATAGAAAATTCCAGAGCCAGGGAGCCATGTGTATGAAAGATGGATGTTTTCTGCTTGTGTAGCTGCTTTTCAATAAGCTGTTGTACACTGTGCTCTTCTAACCTGCTTTCCCTATGTGTGCTCTTCTTAGGGAATAGCTGTGTAGTCATTTTAATCAGACATAAATCTGGCCTGTCTCTAACATGGTTAGTTCCACCATTCTTGTTCCCAGCTACTCTGACTCACTGCCTCCCTCACTTATGTACCTGAGCTGTAAATTGCATCAGGGATCGCATCCTACTAAAAACATAATCTCTCTACCAGTTTGCTGAGTCAAGTTTGGCTTTGCGCTGTGTTTAATCTGACTGAACTCTGTCCTGTCCCCTCCCTCCCTGTGCCACCCACAGCATGCCAGAAAACAGATTAATAATTTAAAAAAAAGGGGTTTTTTTAATCCAGATAAGCTCAGAAATACAGGTCATTCAATAATACTTCAATCAATACAAGTGTTAGCAGAAGGAACGTGGGATTGGGCCTGAAAAATATCTGCCTTTTTTCCAGTAGCTGCTGGACACATGCTGGTTTAATGACTCTGTTTTGGCTCACAGAAGTACTTTCTCAGGTGAAATATTAATAAACAAGTTTACAAGTATATATAAATCATAATCTTGCAAGTTTTCCAACATACTTCTGTGGCAGAGGATTTTGCTACTTTCTCATTCTTTATTTATTCCCATATCTTTCTTCAGTGGATGTCTGTTCACCATCAGATTCAGAAAACTAGCCTAGATTTACTTCACATTCTGCAGTACCTGGCTGCATACGTATGCCCTAAATAAATCCTAGAATTAAACCAATTTGAACAGATTCTGTCAACAAAATGCTTCTTTTCAATACAGTATTCTTTATATTAATGTTCATAAAAGAAAGCGAAAAAAAATGAAACAAATCTAAACATCTGCATACAATGAGATTTCAAAACCTTAACAAAAAATTAGCCATTTTAAAGTTTTGTAGAAGGGTAATACTTCACATCTTTGTTGTGCTCAAGAGGATGGTAGAGAGGAAGGGAAAATCTTAGTTTACTGATAAATAAAAACATATTGTTTATAAAAACATTCTTTTTATACTCTACATAATAATCGTCATATGATATTTTCATTGAATGGTATCCAGCTAATATAGTAAACAAACATAATGACCGTATGGACTTTTTTTTTTAATTTAAAAATAAATCAGTAGAATGACAATGGGTCAGCCTCAAGACTCATTACTAAATGCTGTTTGGTAAAAGGTACAGGAAAATGGTGTACATAGAAAGTAGAATGTTTTCATTATTCAGGTAAAAAACTTCATGGTGTTTTAGTGTATTGGACCAAAATGAGCATTGTGGGTGAGGAGGAATCTTTGATATGGCTTCTGTAAGATCATTATCTTAAAAGGTAAATACAGAAGTGATATAACTGATATGTCTGGTGTTTCATCTGGAGATTAGGATGCTCCTAATGGATATCCTTATGGATTAGGATATTTAGGATACTCAGCTGTACTAGGAAGAGAGATACAAATGAATGAGCTTGGTTTACAAAATGTCTTGTTAGCTTGGCAACTTGCCCAAGATTATTCATTATTATTATTGCTGTTATTTACCAATGTCAGTAATTCAGGGTATGGGCTGACATCACAGTTAAGTAGCACGGCCAAATACCACCAAAAGTCAGCCTTGCTTCTAGCACACCCAGCCATTTGCTCCTGGCATGCCCTTCATGCCAATGCTGGGACACATCTGATGCTGTATTGAGCCACTTCTTGCAGTTAAACCCCAAAAAACCGATCCCAGAAAATGTGATTGAGCTTCAGACAGTTTGGCCCTGTGACTTTCATATGTAAATAAAAACATCAATACTTACGTATTTTAAAACCTTACCAAAAAAATACCCAAAACCAAACAAACAAAAACCCAAAACCAATTTGAAAGGTCTGCAAATAAAAACCTTCTTTCTTTGCTGTGATCAATAGGCTGAAGAAGGGGAAAATCTGACTAACTTTACAGTTTTTTATAAAGAAAATGCAAGATTTTTATCTTGTATTCTACATATCTCTGTAATTTATAAGAATGTGAGAATGAAGGTAAATATTTGCCAACAGAAACTTTTATTTCTTCTTTATCAGTCAGGAACTGTTATTCTGCCTGTGGAGCTCTGCTCAGCTAAGTTTGTAGCTTCCTTTTTAAATAATTCCAACGTGACACTTCAGAGTCAGACTCTTCACAGACCAGAAACAGTGGGCTAACCAAAGAAGGGCCACTTTTTAAATTGTGAACTAATCTGCAGTCAGAGACCGACTGGCTCCCTGCCCGAGCCGTATCTTGCTTTGTTTTTAGCTGCCCCTCATTTGCACAGAGGCCTTTGCTATTCCCGATGACGTCCCAGGTCCGTGTGCATTCAGAGGCAATGAACCCCCGGCAAACAGCAGGACAGGGCACCTCTCCCTCTCGAGCCCGCCTTGGAACTTCGCCACCTTCCCCACCAGCGACGTCACTACCCCGCGCATCTCGCGAGCTACGGACACACCCCCCGGCCAAGGGCCTCCCAAAACCCGGGATCCCAAACCCCGATTGGCGGGTCCGCCCCAGCCTGCCCCCGTTCGGGACGGAGCCCCCGGGGCTTGCCATGGGCGAGGAGGCGGCTCAGTCCCGGCGGCCCGGGGTCGGCGTGGGGGTGGTGGTCACCAGCGCCGCGCACCCCGGCTGCGTCCTGCTGGGCAAGCGGAAAGGCGCGCTGGGCACCGGCACCTACCAGCTCCCCGGAGGGCATCTGGAGTTCGGGTAGGAGCCCCGCGCCCTCCCTTCTGCCCTGCCCTTCCCTTGCTCCGCCGTGCCCTGAGGCGGCCCTGCCTTCCCTTGCCTTGCCTTGCCCGCCCGCAGGGAGAGCCTGGCGGAGTGCGCGGCGCGGGAGACGCTGGAGGAGGCGGCGCTGCGGCTGCACCGCGTGCGGTTCGCGTCGGCCGTGAACGCGGTGTGCGCGCCCCAGCGCTACCACTATGTCACCGTGCTCATGAAGGGCGAGGCCGAGCCGGGCGCCGAGCCGCGCAACCAGGAGCCCGACAAGAACGAGCGTGAGTAATCGTCTCGTTCCAAGCGCCGTGCCGCGGGCAAGGACACCTCCCACTAGATAGGTAGCTCCGAGCTCCATCCCGCTTGGCCTTCAACACACCCAGGGATGCGGCATCCACACCTTCTCTGGGAAACAAAAAAGCTGCTCAGGCAAAATGACTCTATATGCAACAGAGAATCTGACTTTGTATTGGTAGTTTCTATATGATCCATCTAGACTTGCAGAGGAAGAATTGTTGTATCACAGAAACAAAGAATATCCTAAGTTGGAAGGGACATCCAAGCACCATGAAGTCCCATTTCTGGCCCTGCACGGGGCAACCCCAGCAATCCCACCTTGTGCCTGAGAAGGTTGTCCAAACACTCCTTGAGCTCTATCGGCTGCACTATGGAGCCTATTCCAGTCCCCACCACCTTTTCCTAACATCCAGCCTAAACCTTCACTGCCACAGCTTCATGTTTTCCCTTGGTCCTGTCTTAACGCTATACTCAGATTTTCCTTCCTTTTTTTTTCTTTTTTTTTTCTTTTTTTTTTTTTTTTTTTCTTTTTTTTTTTTTTTTTTTTTTTTTTTTTTTTTTTCCTCCTACAGGCTGGGAATGGGTCAAATGGGATGAATTTCCTCCAGCAGATCAACTGTTCTGGCCCTTACGCTGTTTAAGAGAGCAAGGTTACAATCCCTTTACAGAAGAGCTAGATCATCTAAAGGGGTACACGGGAAGTCACCAATTAGAGTAAAAACAAATTGTATGTTATGTAACAAACTAAAGGTCGGACCCGCTTTTTTTGGTGTAGAAGAAAAAAAGATACTAAGTGCTCACCCTGCCCATGTGAAAATACTATGTTTCCCAAAGATTATACCAACTGTTTCTGTGCTTTTCCCATATTTCACACGACAGTTGTCTCTCAATCCAGACCCATTTCTAGGTTTAGTAGTTAATAATTAATGTTTGCTTTTACAGAAAACTCAGTGTTTTATCTAGTTAATCTTTATATTGATTAGCAGCCATTTGGAAATCAGCACTAGCCAGGGAAGCTTACTCACTTAAAAGCAGTTGCAGCAAAACCTGCTTCCCTGTAATTATTGGACCAATTTTAAAACTTAGCCTTGTCTCTTAGCTTCAGTTATGAAGCTACGGTCATGAACAAAAGTTACATTTAATAGACAATGCCATTTTTCCCTGCAGACAGCAGTATACACTTTAAAATCAAAGGAATATTATAAATGTGAAAATATTGTCATGACCTATTGCAAGGAATAAAAATTCCCTGACCCTTCTTACCAGTTGCTTTCATAACGGAGTTCTGTTTAGAGCCTCAGTTACATTGAATTTATCTGCAGCAATGTCTCATATCTCTGCAATTGATCTGAATTTGTTACTGAAGTCTTGGAATGGAGAGTTGCCTACTTTACTACCTGACACAAATCTCACTTATAGTAGTTCCATGGCAAAAATCATACTTTGTGGCTAAAAAGAGTTGTCAGTATTAAACAGCACAGATGAGTGTAATTCTGTAAGGCTGGCTACTGAGATTTGGTAAAATAGTGAATTTTCAGTTTGACTGATTAAATGAGTTGTTAGTGAATGAAATTACAGTACATATAAAACCAAGGAGTTTATGTTTTTATTTTTTTAGAATCTGTAACTAAGTTTGATTAGTTGGCACTGTCCAGCTGTGGTCACTAAGATATCAGCAATTAACTGTTGGATATAACTTTTAAATAAATTGCGAATTGGCTCATTTTTTTCTTGCCAGGGTTCTTTTATAGCACATCTCCTGTCTATATCCTTTAGATATACTCATTGTACAACAATGTTCTAAGATATCTTTAGTTTCTTTGGAATAAAATACAGGCACAATACTGAGATTAAAATTGCCTGAAATTATGAATTGACTTCTCAGTTCTTAAATCAGCTTGAAGCTGATACCTTACTTGTTACATAATTTTTTTTTAAATGGAGATGGCTCTTCTTGCTGAGAAAGAGTGATGAGGCATAAGGATGCTACTGCCCCTGGCAATTCTGCTTAGAGTTTGAAGTATTAATTATGGGCAACTTCCCTAGGACAGACACCCATTCTCTGAAGTGAAGAAAGAAGTAACGTTACACAGCAGTTTTGAAATGGGAAATTTCACCAAAAATTCCTTTGCTACTGTACCTTTGTAAAAAGCCTATTTCTCTATTCAAAAGTGGAGATTTGCTTCCTGCAAGCAACCTTATGTACACTGAAAATTATTCCATTCAGCTGTCAACAAAGAAGCTGTAGGAAGAGTTGACAGATGTCCTGCCCATCTGTCACAAAGAATAATGAATAAAAAAATTAAATTATTTAGTACAATTATAAATTTTAGAAAACATCTAGGTCCTGATGAGAGAACAGGGACCACTGTAAAATGGTCCATCATTCAATAAATACTTTCTTGGCATATTTTGTTAATGGTTATATACATTCTATTTCTTGTAAATACACAAGTAGACACTGAAATGAGGACACAACCAGTATCTCCATATGTCAGCATTTCTGTATCTTTTCAAAATGGATTGATTAAAAGACTACAGTGCATTACTGCAACCAGCTGTCAGCAATCCCCAACTTAAATAACTTTGTTTGTATGTATCACACATTTATATTTCCCACCCCTACAGAAAATGTGGCTCTCAATCGATTTTAGCTGCCAAGACTCAGTCCTTTCAACTAAGTCTTTACTTTGATCTTTGGTACTTTTGCTAAATAGGAAAATCTATTATGTACACATCTAAGCCACTGAATAACAGAACACTCAGTTACCATATCATGGTTTACTAAAGCTGCCCCTAAAGCTGCTTGTAACTGAATTTCACCTAAGATGGCATTATAATTAACCATCCTATAATTAACACTGACAAGAATATTCCTGAACTGTGCATAGTTTGGAGCACTGATGCAAGGAAACTGATTAGGATGCATCTAATAGCCAAAGTTTGATTTTATGCTAAATGAACAGTGGGCAGAGCTGTTGCCTCACCTATTTCTTAGATGTAATACATTGGTCCCATTTAATCCTATAACAGTAACTAACAAACCAGAAAAAGAAGTGGTCATTGCTTCAGTTCCCTCATGTCTGAAAATAATCACCCGCTTTCACAATATTTCAATTGGTGAATAGATACAGCATAGAAGAGTTTTGGGTAGACTGTAACACTACACTTCCTGTGAGTTTTAATTATTTATTTTTGTATTCTATTTCAAGAATGTCCTTGTAAGTTAGAAGATAAAAGAGGCTGGTGAACTGTGTCTGTGGTGTGTTAAGAGAGGGGTATTTAGAAAGAAAATACCAATCCCATTATACAAAGCATTAAGAAACTCCATTTTGCAATATTGTGTATGATTCTAATCACACATATTTTAAGACAAAAAACTAATGTGAGCTAGATAAGGGGTAGGCAAGGTTAACTAGAATGACTGATACACAGCACATGTATCACATGTGTTTGGATTAATGTGAATTAAAGAGGAAAGATATTGGAGATAAGCACCTAAGAGGAAAACATGATACTGAATAAAGGTTACAAAATGTATGTATATGAATAACTTTAAGCTGTGAAAGAGGTAACAGTTAAAAACTCTGAAAATACTTCTAACAGCTGAGACAAAACCAAATTCCCCATTTCTCTGAAAACAAAACCTACTGCCCCATATTATGTGATTGAATGTGACTGGAGTCCTTTCTACATCCCTATGGGATTTTTACTGGCTGGTCACAGGTGGCAGCATTACTGGCAGCAATGCTCACTTAAAGATTACTTGAGCAAAGGAGTATTCCTCACAGGAAGTATCATCAGATACTTCCTGTGAGGAATGCACAAAATGGAAAAGGGAAGATAATTGTGATCTGTGCTGCAGGACAGAAACCTGTAACTGCCAGGAGCAACAGTTCACATGAGTTTTGAAATTCTATCAGAGGGTTACATAAGAGAAAAACAGCTGTCATAAAATGACTCCTTAAGCAAAACAGAAAGAGAAAAGGAAAGCCAAGGGAAGTGCCTTTGGAAAGACAAACTAACATTGCAGCTGACGCAGGAAATGTAATTGCAAAAGTAAACAAATTAGCAGGTTCAAAGAACTAAAAAAATTATAGATTATGAGAACAAAAAAATCCTTGAGCACTTTGATCTTAAAGGAGCTAAACCTGCAGCATGCCCCAAAGCGTGTCACCTCCAGGGTCCCAGGACACTTAACCAAGTATTTGGGGCAGCCTTGTGGGTGGGCACTCACTGCTTCAGGGTCAGCCCAGCTTTGTGTGTACCTGGAAGGGCTCACCTGAAAATGAAGGACAGGCTTTCCACTTCTGACTCCTCCTCAGCTGCTTCTAATTGCTGACTGGGCATTTTGCATAGGGGAAAATGGAGTACAAACTTGTGAAACTCAATCAGAATTCAACCACATACTGGGATGAAATGTGTTGAGTATTGAAATTACATGGCAACTCATCTAAGATTCCAGTTTGGAAAATTGAAGTTAGATCAAAGACAAGTTTATTTATGACAAATCTTCATTATATATTACAATAATTACAAACTCTTTTATTACACCTTATTGACATATTTTTGTTCTTGATACACAGATGATCAAGAACAGATTTAGGCAGTAACAAAAAAAGATACATTACAAACTTTGTGTTTCATTTCCGTGGCATAGAAAAGGCTATCATCAAAAGAGTAAAGTTACTAACAAACATACAAGGGGATTCCCCTTACACATTTTTTCCCAGGAACTTATGTCATCTAATGTATAGTAAATACATATATATAAATATATATTTACACATCTCTTGGAAACATACATTTACACAATCGCTGAAAATCTGACATCTCTCCCGCAGCAGACAGCTTCCAGACACTTCTCCCAGCTCCCAAAACATCTAAGAGGAAAAAAACAAGACTATAGTCCAAGGTTTTAAATTAGTCACCCTATTTCTGAGCCAGCTGTTATCTTCTCCCTACACAAGGCTGCTGGTGTAACAAAAGGAGATTGCAGTTTGTGACAAACAGTATCTAACCTACCTTCACCACAGGAAAGGTCTACCAGGGATACTGTCCCCCTAGTCTGAGTCACTGCTGCTGCTTGAGGAGTCTGTTGACATAACTTCTACATCATCTTCATTCTCTTTATTGTGTCCTGGAGGCTCCAGCATGAAGTCATTACTATGATTAGGAGGTAGCATGTTCATTGACATATCACTTGACTGCCAAGGATACTGAGGAGCAAGCACATCTAGGGAAAAAAAGAGGCAAAATCAAGAAAACTTTCAGTTTTGTATATTGACAAATTCAACAAGACAGCTGAACCAGAACTAAAATTTAAAATGAAAACAAATCTTGAAATACTTTCTAAATTTTGGACAGATTAAACCCTCCAGCAACAGCTTGAAAAATCTCATGATGGAGCAATTCTATAATTCTAAAAGTCAGCTCTGCCAGAGAGGCCAATTTATGTAGGTGGCTCTTGATAACTCATATACTCAATACAGAGCTTTTAATCTACAAAGGAGAGTTTGAACTGACTTAGCACTCACACCTACTGGAGAAATGAAAATTATCATGGTCTGTCAGTATGCAAAAATAGATTAAAATATTAGATTTTAAAAAAATTCAGGCAGACCATAAAAATTCTGAGAAAAAGGCTTTATCCAAATATGCCTGAAACGCCTTTATCTGAATGAGCTAAAATAGAAGCTAGTGTTTTACATTTTGTGGCCATGCTTCAATGTTAGAAGCAGTCTGCTATTAAACCAGGCTGAATGTATATGCTAAGCAGCCTCAAGGTTTGGAGGCTACCAAGCAGTCCAGAAACTGGTCTGCACATTCACTAAGGACTCAGTAACTGGACATCTCTGCCGGAGTCTCCAAAAGGACTAGATCCCATAACTAGCATTCTCAGGACATGCCTCCACACACCAACAGATTCAGCATCCCTACACAAAATGCTCAGGCATTCAGCTTTCTTGTAAATCAGTGTTTCCCTTTTCCCTCTTGTGCGTATTTCACCTGATAGAGGAGCCCAAGACTCAATTAAGAATTTTACTGGAGGAGTTTAAATCCCACATTTTCCAGCTTCTCAAGGAAAATTCCTAAAATTCCTGAAAATTCCATACAGCACTCAAAAGTAAATGGATCAAGTCTGCATCCTCTAAGGCAGAGGAGCCATCCAGAAGGGGCTCTACCAAAACATACACAAATAAATGCTCAAATTCCATTAGGAAGTCACAACCTTAACATCTCCTCTGACCATATTCCAAAAGAAGGGAAAAGGTATGTGGGCCAATCCCCAGCATTTCCCTGGTGCATTGCTATGGACAGATGCCAGGGTCCTACTCCCATTCAGTTCACTGACCCATTTTATCTGAGCCCAGAAGTTTACAAAGTGAGATGATGCAGAATTTCAAGTCACTTCCTAAGAGGTGACAACAGGGTTAGACAGATGATCAGAAACACAAAATCCAAATTTACCATTTCTGCAGTGGAGTTGCTAGAGGGGTTCTTTAATAAATTCAGCATGATTTTTGGAAGCAAGCTTTCCATAATGCCTGATAGTGGCTTAACAGATATGTAAGAAATTTTACAGATCTCCTATGAAGCCAAATTAAGACTTTTTCCACCATTTAGTCTAACTATAGTAGATCAATGCTGCACAGGTAAAGAGCAACTGAACTCTTGATTCAATTACTGTAATTCACTGCTAAATTCAGTTTTTGCACGAAGGAATGAATCTCACTGAAGTCAATGGAAGCGTCCATTTCACAAAGCAATTAAGGGATTAAAGCTTGATTCCTACACTCAGTGTACTATCTCAGCAGTTGTCCCCTGCCATGTCTTTTAAATCCAAAACTTCTAAGCATGGACTTAAAGAAAGGTAGGTAATGACAATAAACCATCTTTCTTCCAAATACAGCTTTCACAATTCCATGCTTTGTCATCACCACTAAGCAAAAGCTGTTCTCAAAGTGCTTCTTTTTCATATGTCTGGAAATCACTTAAGTATTTATTTAAAATACATTAATTATGGTAACTGAATTTTGTTTATATTGACTTAGCTGTAGCATCTGCAGTTTAGCATGAAATGAAAAAAATTATGCAATTTCTAATTACCTTTCTTTACTAGGTCTTCATTGCTAGGGAACAACATTAACCACAAATTTCATTGCTTTACCTCTGATTTGCCTTTGCTAAGGGAAATGTGAATCTGTAAGCAGTAAAGAAAAACAAAAAAAAACCCTGAGTTTCACTTACCTGGCAGTCTGCCTGCTGCAAGTGCATCCCCTGGTAAGTGTCCATTGACTCCATTGGTGGATGGGTTGTTCATCTGACCCAAGAGACCACTTCTCATTTCCAGATCTGTAGGATATGGCCTACGTGGGTCCCCTTTAAGAAAAAAAAATAAAAATAAAAATAATGCTTTTAAATATTTACCAATTGTCTTGCAGACATTAGCTTTAGCTTCAGAGCCTAGTTTAATGACCAAAAAAACCTCATACCGGTTGCTTGGATGAGCAATGAGCATCACACCTGTTTAATTAAAATCCAAGTCTGTCTTTCACTTAGGACTTTCTTTGTTTGTTCAAACTTAGCAGAAAAAGCATATTAAAAAAACCCCAAACAACCCAAAGCAACTCAAACAAACAAAAAAAAAAAACAGCCCTATCATGTTTAAAAGATACCTTTGCTCACCCTGCTATTTCACAGCTAAACAGCAAGGACAGAAATTGGACCAAACACATGTTCATTTTGGACAAAGAGGGTAGTACCCAAAATTGAAACAGGTCATAGTAAAAGTTCTGTTTCTGGCTCCACTGCTTACTAACATTTCTGAAAGAATATTGTAAGGGGCAAGAGGGAACACAACCAAACACACAGAAAAGCCTTTAGCATACTTGGCTTTGACTTATAATGAGGGTAAACACTATGAGGGTAAACATTCAGAGGAAAAAGGCAAACAAATGAGAACAGAGGAGACCAGTCTGTTAATGAAAGCAGACACTTTCATAACCTCTTGGAAATGTATATGAAGTCCACAGGATTTTGGATATCCATTTTAGATAAAACTAAATATTTAGAATTAAATATTAGATGTAACAGCTGAAAACAATGATATTCTAATAAACACTAGTGGCTATTGCTGTATAAAAACATTTTAAGACCAAATATTAACCATGATTTTAAAAAAATCTACTGTCATAAACACAATAGTTACCTGGTACCCATGTCAGAGGGGCACAAACAGCATTGCTAGCACTGATCCTATGGGCATATTTAATTATTTCTTCAGAGGAAATGGCACCTGCAAGAGCAGAAAAAAATGTTGCTGCATTCTCAAGAGATTGTGCATTTAATTATTTCAGAATATTGGCCACCAGTATCTAAAAGACTAGGGATGTGATTTTGCCAAACATGAAGAGCCTGGTTCAAATGCAATGACTGTTTAGAAGATTCTCAAACTACACACAGATGAGCTTTGCAGTGAACTGATTTTACACACACAAGTACAAAACATCTTCAATATCAATAGTTCTCCAACCTCGTGAAAAACACAAACTCTTAAATACATGTACTTGACAAGCACAAAAAATTTTCTAAAATTTCAGCTCCTCCTTTATTATAGAATTTTTTGTAGCAAAGTTTTTTTTGTTCATTTAGTAATTACAGACTGTACTCAGAAGAATCCTTCCAAATATGTGCCTGTATTAAATTAACAGAAACTTTATTAAACTCCTTGATTTTTTAGATGAAAAAGGCATAAAAAATTATAAAAGACACCGTAGAAACAAAACAACCTACAGAAGATGCCTTCTCCCTCACTTCTGCACCTCTTATCAGAAAAAAAAAAAAAAATTGGTTCAGCTTGCTAAGTGCCACAGAATGGCAGGAATTTCCTACAATTACAATCTTGTATCACCAACTACTCAGTCTTTCAAAATACAGTGCATATACACACATATATTCTCTCCCTTTCCTTAGCATCCTCCTGAGGCAATTTGGTAAGGCACTTAGGTAATCAGATATACTATTATCAATCCAAGAAGACTGCTAAGACACTTTCATATTAAAATATGTTTTAAAATATGTTTGCTACAATACAAAATTCAATGCTGTCTTTATTCTGAGAAAATGGTTACACTTTCATAATGAAATGGAAATTTGTTTACAAAGCATCTGAAATCTGTGATAGTAAAATTAAAAGAAATAAAACATGCCCAATTTGAGCTTTCTTTAGAATTGCATTTATGTAGTATGTACAATTATGGATACTCACCTTTTCGTGCTTTTTCAATTGATTTCAGTTTTTCCTTTGCTTGATAAACAGCTGTTGCCTAGTTGTAAAAAAAAACCCACAAAGCAAACCAAACCTTCAATACATATTTAATTTATAAACGTCTACATAAAGTCAACTTTGTGAATAAACCCTTCCATTTAATTGCATTTTAAAAGAGAAACTTCCATGAACATTTTTAAAATACACAGAAATAAAGTAGATTTAGAAGCAAATTAGCATTATAAAAAAAAACTTAATACCATGATAACTAAACAGTGTTTGACTATTGAGAAAAAACCCAAACCACTACACTCTTATGAAGTTTTAAGTATTTAAATCGTCTCAAACTAACACAACACCACTTTGCCCAGAACTGCCTTTTCTACAAGAAGATGCTCAAAAGCAAACACATCATTATGAACTTACCAGTATGTGCTCTGCTTCTTTAAGCTGTTTCTGCAGCTGCTGAATATCATTATCCCGCTTTTCTACTACCTTTTCTAAAAGCTGCATTTCATGATGGATTTTTCCCTGATCAACTGCCAACTTCATTAGCTCTTGAAACTCTCCATCTCTCTGAATCAGCAGTTCCAGGATCTATTGAACAACAGTTTTGTAGAACTTTTAATTTGGCTAGAGTAACAACACACTCTCAGTCATGCTACAAAGAAGAGCAAATGGCATCCATAGGAGTATTTTTGCTTGAATGAAAAATGAAAGAAAATTTCTTCCTGTTTGCAGAAACGCCCTATGAAGCACATAAAAAATTAATAAACTGCAGGAGAACCAATAATGCCTCTGTAGCAGGGCCAAAGCCCCACCATGACCATTAACTTGAATATAGGCAAGGACAAAAGGAGAAAGTAAGGACAAAGAAAAAAAATGGAAAAAAATTAGAAGCAAAGCATTATGCTTACCCAAAGAAATGCAATTCAGAAAGGCAGCTTACCTGGCTCTCCTCTCCTGGTTGTGGAAGCTTTTGGTTTCTTGAAATTGCCAAAATTTCAATTAGTTCCCTGAAAGGAGAACTCCGTTTGCACAGTTTCCTACAGCATTCTCACATCAAGTCATCCCAAAATTACCAGAGTACTGGTATAATTATGAAAGTATTCATGGACCTGAGCAGTTTATATTTTATAGTACAGTGTGGGCAGGGACTTTTCAACCAAGAAAGAATATTTTTTTGTTATTTGAGCTCATGAAACCCTCATGTATTTGAACAAGAAATGTGCTAAGTTCCTGTTAAACCATAAAAGACATAAACAGAACCTGAGAGAAGAAACAGCATAATGGAGTGCACTCAGATCCTTCTTCTACTAGCTTTCTTTGTTGCAAGAGGGTCTTCACTGTTTTACTTCTCTACTTTTTTCCACTTTTTCTCCAATATACTTGTAATTTAGAGCAATTAAGTCTACACTTTCAAATACCAACAGAGTCTGTTATGGAACTGCTTTTACAACAAATATTCCCACAATGGTATATTAGCTATGCATCAAGCACACAAAAAAATATAAAAGAACCCTGGTAATACTCTGGTGCTAGGCTAGAAGTGCTTCTCAAACAGACCTCTTGATCACTCTTCCAGATATCCAGATACTCTGCCAGTGTTCAGAAAGCCAGCAAGAACTCTGGGTACCATGATGCAAAAAGGCATTTTCTGTAAATTCAGCAAAGTCATTTGGCTTCTAAGGCTATGAATGGCAATTCAACCCTAAGCACAAGTAACTGTCATCTGGAGACACTGCCCTTGGAAGTACTGACTCTTTGCTTGGTCCAGTGTAAGCAGCATAGTGGGGTGTGTGTGTAATATAGCACTGGGGCCAGAAATGTCTAAAAAAATCCCCAGTAAAACTCTGATCTTGGTCTATATCTCTTGGTCACTCCTGAACACTACTATGATTTTAAACAATTAGACAATAAAGAAAATTGTCACTGTTACTAAAGCTTTATTCTACCTGACCAACGCTGAGCAGTAGCAAATAAAATCCATTTTAAGTAGGTCACCTACCACCATCAAAGGTGATGTCAACTAGTGCTGTAATTCTACCCTGTGTCAGCCAGGTAATGCACAGACATAGATTCAAAACTATAGAAAGGCTACAGATTAGACATATGGCTTAATTTTTGTCCCTACCACCAAACCAGTATTGAAACTGAGAAAAGCCTAGCCCCAGGGTGCTGCAACACTTAGCTGATCAACAGGAAGATTCACTAAATTTTGCTGAGAATTGCTCTGGCTTCATTGTGGTAGAACACTAGTTCCAGCATTAAAAAATATTAGCAATATACATAAAGAATAAGCTTGTTTTCATTTTTCAATAAACATATGCTCTTCAGCAACCCTTATGTCTCAATAAAATCTGTGACACATGATAAAACTTAACCTGCCACAAGGAGAGCAACTCACCAATAGCATATCCTAGTCTTGGAACTCATTCAGTGAGCAAGCCACATGGATAGTACAGGTATTCCCACTGAAAATGTTTTCCTAAATTCCTGCTCTCCTTGAGGTGTGGAAAATAATTAGGAACTATCTGAACTTCACTGCCAGCTGTGCCTCCACGACATGGTTGACAATTTGGATGAGGATTACCAGCCTGGACTAAAGACCCTGGATTAAGTATCTGAGCATTTCTATCACTCTGAAGACAAGCGCTGCAGCCTACTTGGAGTGAATGTGGCACTAATACAGGCAATGACCTGAACAGGTGATGTCATGCCACACCATCTACGTATTTCTGACTTAAGCATATTTTTAGTGACTAATAAAATGCCTAAAATCGGCGTGTGAGTGTGCACTTCACAGGAAGCAGAGGTGTCAGCCAAGGGAGAAAGGCAAGTGGGAGAAAAAGGAAGCTACACCTTCTCTCTGCAAACGACCGATGCTTTCCAGCGGGATGAGCGCCGGGAAGCGCTGCGCAGGGCCGGGCCGAGCCCCGGCGCAGCACCAGCCCCTCTCCGGCAGGGCCGGCCCGAGGAGGGCCAGAGCAGGAAAACGCGTACCAGCCGGGTCGGGCCAGCGCCGCAGTGGCGCCGGGCCCCTCCCCTCCCATCCCATCCCAACCTCCGGGGCCGCCGCTCCGCTCCGCCCGCCAACCCCGGCTCCGCGCCCGCGCCCCGCCGGCAGCCCTCACCCCGCCCCCGGTGCCCCGCCGCCACTCGGGGCCGACGGGGCCCGAGCGCGGTACCTGGCCAAGAGCTCGAGATCCTCCAGCGCCGCCAGGAGCCGGTCCCGGGTGCTGCTCCGCTCCCCGCCCCCCGCGCCCGCCGCTGCCCCGGCCCCGGCTCCCGCCGCCGCCGCCGCCATCGCCGTCCCGGCGCGGACCCCAGCGGGAACCGCCCCCGGGAGGCGCGCGCGGGCGCGCGGCAGCGCCCCCGGCGGCGCAGGGGCGAGCGGCAGCCGCGAGGCGGGCGCGCATGCGCGGGGCGGAGGGGCGGATCCCTTCCCGCCGGCTGGCGGGGCGGAGCGCAGCGGGGGTTCGGGGCGCGTCCCCGCGGGCTGGGGGCGTGAGGGAAAGCGGGTCGCCTCTGCGGCCTGCCTTGAGGCCAGGTCGCTGCGCGAGCATCTGTGCTTGTTGCTCTTGCAATCATAGGATCATTTAGGTTGGAAAAGACCTCTGAGATTACGGAGTCTCAACAGCGTCGTGTCAGCTAGACCGCGACGCTAAGGGCCACGTCCAGTCTTTCCTTAAGCACCTGCAGGGATGGTGACTACACCACCTCCCTGGGCAGCCCATTCCAATGCGTAATCACCCTTTCGGTGAAGAAAATCTTCCCGATGTTCAACTTAAACCTTGCCTGGTGCAGCTGCAGACGGTGACCTGTCGTCTTCCTGTTGCTAGTTGTTGGGGAGGAGAGGTCTGTCCCCACCTGGCTACAACCATTCCAACTGGAATGCATTTGTGGAGTCCCCGGGCCCTCACAAAGAGCCTCCAGATGACACTTATATATGCTAAGGATACAGAAAACAGGCTGCAGGTGGAGTGTGTGCAACTGTATTACATCTTCAGGGGCTTTAACTCAATTTTTGAGAGTCTTGGTGTCCAAAAATCCCTCAGGTGTCTTTGATCAGATGGAGGATAAAATCACAGAATCACAGAAAGGGTCAGGTTGGGACCACAGAGGGTCATCTGGTCCAACCTCCCTGCTCAAGCCGGGTTGTCTTAGAGCACACTGCACAGGATTGCATCCAGAGGGTTCTTGCTATCTCCAGTGAGGGAGACTCCACAATTTCTCTAAGCAATCTGTTCCAGTGAATGGTCACCCACACAGTAAATAAGTTCTTCATGTTCAGATGAAGCTTCCTGTGCATCCGTTTCTGCCCATTGCCTCTTGTCCTATTGCTTGACACCACTGAGAAGCACCAGGCTCCATCCTGACACATCTCCTTTAGACATTTATATATCTGGTGTTTTACTGGCAACTGAGGAAGGTTAAGTGCATGATACTGAAAGCATATCAAAAACCTGAACTTCAAATCAGACCAAGACCAGGGTTTTACCTGGGCTGGCTGTCCCTTACATGACTAGAGGCATCACTGTCCTCCTGACACTGCCCGTGCACACGTGTGTGTCCATGAAGGCAGCTTAGTGTCCACCACGGACCTCTACACACAATGGTCAGGGCACAATTACCTGCTGGGGGCAGAATCTGAACACAATAATAGGCTCAAATCCTGCACCCAGCCCTGCCAGCAGTTGAGTTGAAATTAAAAAGTACTGCTATGTTGTGGGGGTTTTTTAATGCTGCGGTCTATGGGGTGGTGAAACGGGCTGCTCCTTCTGGGTGGAGTCACAGTGTAGCCAGTGGAATTTTTTTATATTCATGAAAGTTTCAGTAATGTGGAAAGACCCTGTGAGGCCAGGCTGGAGGGAAGATGAGGGAGTACAGAGTAAGAGCTTATCTGGGGCCAGGGTTTATTAACTAGGGCAAGCACTACCATAGAACAACAGGGAGCCCCAGACCCTGTGTCCTTCTGCTGTCAGCAGGCAGCTGCCAGTAAACAGCTATTTTCTTCTCCCCTGATTAGAAAAAGGCCTACAGGAACAATAACTTCTCTGACTGCTGGTATTTACTCTGATTATCTGTTACCTTCTGCAAAAAGTGTATTCCTGAGAAATTTACATTTATTTAAAGAAGAAAAAAAGGCAAGAAACTCATTAGTCAGTAATTCTTTGGATTGTGATTTAAATAAGCAATTCAACATTATGAGATTTTTGATAAAGCAATGAGATTTGGCAACTCTGAGAAAAAAGACTTTGCTAACAGGAGTTATTTAAAATTCCTTTGCAATGCCCAACAACCCTCAACATTCTGATTGCAAATAGTTTGGGAATTCTGTTTAAACTGCATAGCAGATAAAATCTCATTAAATAGTTCTGCCTTTTAAATAACTTTTGCTTGCTTTTTTTTCCCTTCTCTATTTCCTTGCTTTTGTTCAGGGAAAGATGTAATCAGTGATAGTGTCTGGTTGTGCATCCAGTTCACTGATTCGTTAGTGTCTGTATGGGTGCATAAATAGAAAGAAATAGTGACATCAAAAACAAAGCAGTCCTTCCACTAAATCATTTTCTTCCTCATACTCATTTTGACATCTGGATTATTTAGACTTGAGTGCTGTATTTCAGGGCAATAATGTTGGTTTCACTTGAGCTAAAAGCTTGCAGCATTAATAGGACACCCAGAGTCGACAGGTGTGAATATTGATTATAGGTGATTTCTGTAGCCTGATCTTTCATTCTCCTTTTGCCTGGGAGCTTGTTCCCTCCCTTCCTCTTCACAGCAGTACTACTTCCACCCAACCAGGCCAATACCACCCATCTTTCCCTGGAGCAGCCAACCTACTTCTCAAATTTCTATTCCTCTTCCAGGCAACATGGACAACTGTCTGCTCTCTACTGCCCATGGCTGCATAGCCATGTCTGGGGAATGCAGTGGAATAGGCAGAGACTTAACTGTGTTCGTGCCTCTGTGTGGGAGGACAGGGTGAGACCAGAGGTATCAGGGAATGCCTGTCTGTGCCAAGACATAGAAAGTAATTCAAACCATGTCATAGGGGTCATCTCCTTCAGAACAAAGGGAAAGGCTGGGTGAAATGGGCTCATGCCCCAAACTCGTGCCCCCCATGGGCTGATTACTTAAAGACTGAGTGAATACTTTGCTGAATAGACTTCTGAAATATTTCCCTATAAAAACAACAGAGCCTCTGTTCCCCCAGTGTTGGTTCCTCTGTTACCTCAGTTCTTCAGTGCTTTTTGCCTACTTTCCCCTGGGTAAACTTTTTTCATAGTTTTGTTGGTTTTGAGCCAGATCTGCTTCTTTGGTTCCTCCTGAATAACTAAGCATTGTTCCTGAATTTTTCCAGTAGACTGAGAACATTTTAGTTTGTGTAGTCATACATGGATATTTGCACAGTGAGTTTATTAAACATTTCAGAGCTCTTTAATTTCAAATTGTCTGTTCAATGGCATACTGAATGTATTGTTAAGAACCTTCTAGCATAAGCAAAAATAGCTTATTTTATCTTGTTCAGTTGAGTTTTTCTCTTCCAGAATGGGCCTTGAAGTGATGATCAGCAGAGCAAACTGATTCCTCTAGATAGATCTAGGAGCATCTGATCTGATCTAATAGTTCACCAAGGGCAAGAACCTGAGAGGCTGCTAACTTCTCATGTCCCAACTGCAGATTTTCACCCACCCTTAGCTCCTTCTTGGTGTTTGCCATATGGGCCATGAGCCACTTCAACTCAATAACCAGACTGAAGAATATTTAATTTGGAAGAGGATGTTCATTTCCTTCTGTTTTAGATAGTGAACTCTAACCTCATCATATGGAACCATGCCTTCAGAGTGTGGCTTGAGTTGCAACTAATTTCATGGGACTGTGGGCTAGTGCTGAAAAGTGAGATCTTCCCTTCTTTTATTCATAATTCAGTGCTATTCAGACCTAGGATTCCTCTAGTGCAAAGCATTTTCTTCCAACATAATACTGTGATTCCTTCACTCTAGGTATTCCTACTTTGTTTGGGTTTTTTTTGTTTTTTTTTCCTATGAACTAGAAAATCACTTTAGAATGTAGAAGCTGAGCTGTAGCGAATCTTGCCTAAGAAACCCAAAGCAGGTGTGTGCTTCAGTTAAAATCTGTATTTTTTCTGGGCTACAGTGCTTTTCAGCTGTCTTCTAATTTATACATTCCAGACACTAGACATCAGGTGTTCAGTTTGCAACAGCTAAGTTTACCACACCTTAAAATAATAAGGAAAAATACAGACTACAGAAGATACGTAATACCTGAAGGTTCTCAGGACCATGTGTAATAAAGCATTGCAATCACTAAAAATATAAAGGCAGGAGGATACACAAGGAGAGCAAAAGGAAAAGGGACAGAACAGTTACTCATTTCTACTTCCCCTAAATAATGTAAAAATAAAATCCTTTCTGTCAAAAATCAACTAAAATAGAAATCAAATATCTTGAGCACTGTTTGGAAGGATTTCACAGCTGTACTTTGGTCTTGAAAGATGAGAATAATCGTCCCTCATTTGTCAAGATGTCATTACACTGTTAATATTTTGAAATGTGTCTGATAAATCATCCATTTCTTATTGCTATTTTAAAAGAAATCTATGTTTCCCTGCTCACTGATGTTGGGTAGTTATCTTGGACCAATTAGATAAGACAGGAAATGAAAAAGGTGACTTTGCTTTTTAATAATTTTTCTAAAATTACTGGTGTAATTTTAGAATAGGTTATAGATGAGATAAATATAGATAATACTATGAGCCAAAACTTATTTTTGGGGGGAAGGAGTGTGAAATACTAGTATATATGGCCAAAACCAGAGTTTGGTATGCCATTCCAGACTGTTTCAGCACAGAATTAGCTCTGCTTTGAGCTATATTAAACTTGAGTTACACTGATTTCTTCTGGTGTAAATTTGGGCACAGAGCCCTCAAGACAGGAAGTCACCCAGGCAGAAAGCAGTCCTTGCTTTCAGTCTGCTGGAGGGCTTGTGGGGACCAGTGCTGCCTGTGAAGTAGGAGGTGTTGAGTGGGAAAGAGAACCAAAATTGGCCCTGGATAGTGAGAGGAGGGAAAATAAAGAAAGAAAGAAAAAAAATGTCCTTTGAAAAGGAAAAGCTTGTTTGACAGCTTGGCCACTAGAGATATTTACAATCCTGCCAAGTCTTCCCGGGAATAAAGGAAAATTTTGAGGGAATTAAATATGAGATTTTTTTTCCTCACTAAGCTAAAAGTTAATGCTGACTACTTCATGAAATAAAACATCCAATTAGAGATAATGAGACTCCTGGGATAACCCCTCAACACATAGTAATTTTGAGCCTTCATTAAGTTAAATTTGTTTATTTGGAAAAAAAATTCTCATTTTCCTGGTGGCTCCTGCTGTAAACTGTTTACCAAAAACTACTGGGACACCCACACAAGCTTCTGTAGAAGCCAGGCTGAAATTTAGAGTTGTTTACTTCCCCTCACAAAAAATCCAAGGGCAATGATGACAGCTGCAGTCCCTGCTCTCCCACATGCTGAATTCCAGCTAGGCTGATAGGAGTTGTAATTTACTTAGAATGAATCTCTTCCCACATCTCCTTCATCCTTTTATTGTGCTCAATTGCCTGCTAAAGATAAAGCTGTCATCTCTTCCTATTTAGACTAGGTCACCTGTCTTTTAACTGGGTGAGTTCATCTTCTAATCTCCAAGATGCTGCTCAGATTTTCACCTGCTTAATGCAACTTCCAGACAGGTTTTCAAATACCTGCAGCTGACATCAGCTTCAGGTTCTTCCTGAGATTCAGAAAGAGCAGAACACCCACCAGAAATAGAGGTACCTGGCTTAAATTAGTTGTGAGGACTGAGCTGTAGGGTAAAGATGAAATGGAAAAT